ATATAATGAGAGAGAGAGATTTTCCCTTTTCTTAATTCCCTTGTTCAAATTGATGGTTATGTAGGACACTGGCAGTTTGGAACAACATAGACTTTTATTTAACTCCGTGTACATCCAAATCCAATCCCCCATTCTCCTTCCTCTTTCTTCCTCATCAGCATTCTCACTCATTAAAGGCAAAGTCCATCTTTTTGTTAAAAAAAAATCAATACATTTATTTGCATGTGAGCCTCAATATCACTGAACTGTGATCAGTGTATATGTAGTGCAATGCTCTGGCTTCTGCAGACTGTTCTTCTGTTCTTCCCAGTCCTTGTCCGTACTGAGTTACGGACTTTCAATTACAGGGATAGGAGCAAGTATGAAAGAACTACAAGCGCCCTGACGTTGGCACACTGGTACTACATTTGGGGGTGGGGCGCTTGTTTGTGACCATTTTTTATGTTACACCCTGAATATGGGTGTAACATGAAACAGGGTAAAAAGATGGAGTAAATCTTTAACCCTGTGGTGCCTTTCAAACAGCCCATCACTTGACAAACAAAAAGATGATCTATACCAGCTGTCCAGAACATATTCCTTTTGGCCAGTACATTTTTACCTTTAGCCCCTTCCCCAAAACCTCAACCCAAAGGAGGTGGAGGCCCCAGTTGAGCCAAAACAATGGAATCAGGAAAGAGCATTCACATTTAATGAAGTTTACCGGGTTTGGACTACAGGATCAGCACAATGCTGATTGCACTTCAAGAAAGCCAACTTGCACTCAACCATGACAGCCTTGTGACTCTTAGATTGGTCAACGGAGCCACTAGGGTGGCAAGATTGGGCACAAACCATTTGTATAGCAGGTCCTTCTGTATAGCCTCTACTTTGCTCATTTGTGGGTCTTACACAGCCCTCTTCCCACAATGCACCCAAGGTACTTTGTATCCTCCATTTCTAAAGCACATTTTTCTGGATTCACGGTAAAGCCTGCTCCCATCAGGGAGGCCTAACAGTGCCCGAACCTTGTGCAAGTGGGATTTCCAATCTCTACTGAAAATGACAATGCCCTTTACATATACTCAGGTGTATCATTGTTGAGGGTGTACAAATCTATGTATCGCAAATTGGATCTAAAGGAATTATTTTGTACTGGAAATAAGACATCTGTGCGACCTTGGGTTAGAGGTCGTGCATTCAGGAAATAGGATAGGTGCAATTTTTTAAACTTCATTAAGCTTCCAGAGAGTGCAGTAGGGCTTGGGAACCAGAGATTTCCGTAGGGCTTGGGAACCAACACAATAGGGCTTGTGATCCACTTACTCTGTGATTCCGCTGTTATCCCCCGTGCCAACATCATCTTTATTCGAGACAGCTTTCCCTTGAGCCTCTGGGATCCGGTAAAGCCTTTATATCATGCTTGGGTAAATTGGGAAACGTTTCCTTTTTTCTTTGCGACAATTTCTTTACTTTCTGGGTTTGAGCTTTTGACAGTGTGCTGTCCACCTGGATGCTGTCCACCAAGCTTTTACCAAGCTTTGCACCTGCCAAGGCAGTTAACTGGTTCCCTGTATTTCCAAGGCTTCAACAAATTTGTGTGTAGATTTTGCTGCGTTATCAGTGCGGTTTCCATACAGGTTTTAATGGAACCGCACTGATCAGCTCTGTTTTGGGCGTTTTTTATTCTGTTTCAGCGCTGAAACACAATTGAAAACTTCCAAAACCTCCTTTTTTGAGATCAGCGCGGTAACCACGCTGATCCGCAACCTCCCGGTTGTGAATGGGCTCTTATACCAACTCAAAGGACAAGGAGCTGGTAAAGGCTTAAAGGAGAACTATGAGGTGAGTGCTTTTCATTCACCTCATAGTTCTAGCCGACCTGTGACAATGAGACTGTCACAGGTCGGCTCAGTAGATCGGGAGGTGAGCGAACACATACCGGGTACGCTCACCTCTTGATCCTGTCACGGCTCTCTGTCGTGACAGGGGGAGGGGCTGGATTCTCCTCTCCCCGCTCCGATCTGCCAGCGCTTACTGGCGGAACGGACGGGGGAGGGGGCGGGTACAGCTGGCTCTGCCTCTAGATAGGCAGAGCCAGCTGTCACTCACGCAGCTGGGCGGATCCATTCGTCTAAGTCGGGATCCGCTGCGGCGTCTCAGTATACCGCGAGCTGCAGCTCGCGGTATACTGAGCTTCGGGTAACGGGAGGACGCTAGTTTGTGTCCTCCCGTTACCCTAAGGAGAATTATGGGGAAAAGCACTGACCCCATAGTTCTCCTTTACGGCAGTTCATAGGGCAAACAAGAGCACTGGCACAAGGTAAGTCACAATTTTTACCTCCTGCTTAAGCATGGCTTTAGGATTGTGGATGGTAGACAGGCGTTTGCAGCGGCTTAATTTGTATAACCCTTGACATAAACTGTGACCTGATCGGAAAGAAAAAAAAAATATTTGGGAAAACCTGTACTGTTAAACATTTGGAACAGTTCATGGGCGATAGTGTTGCAGTAGGCATTCTGCAACAAATATTGCTTCAGTATTTCCTCAATTTCTAGGTCAAAGAGGCCCTTTAACCGATTGCCGTTCGCCCGTTGAGAAAAAACGGACGGACAGCAGACTCACATTTGTTTGATATGCATACGATCGGCGGCTCTATAGCCTGCCAATCGTATGTATGTGCTGTCTTTGTTTGCTGCCGCTGCCGCCCCACCCCCCTCCATAGGACACTGGCTTTTTGAAACCACATATTCCTTTTATTTAATTCATAAGGCTTTTTAGCAGTAAAACAAATGTCAATATCAACAAAAGAAGACTCAAATGCTCCTTTTTGGAGTCCAAACACTGTGGCACCAAAGCACAGCGATCATTTGTGCATACAAATCACCATCCACCAACCCTCTCCCTCTTCTCATTTTTTTTCCGCCTCCCTTACTCTATATGTATGTTATATATCTATGTATATGAATGTATGCATAAGTGTTGTGTTTTGTTTTCATGTTCACATAAAACAGATGATAAAATAGATTTAAACACACCGTTAAATATTCCTATAGATTCCCTTTTTAAATGCAGTGATATATTATGCTTTAATGTTACTGACTGTTTTCCCACCTTATTTTACTTTTACATAGAAACAAATCATTGTAGATCCTCTTGGCTTTAGTGAAGAAAGATTCAGACCCTCTCTGGAAGAACGATTGGAGAGTATTATCAGTGGTGCTGCTTTGATGGCTGACTCTTCCTGCACTCGTGATGATCGTCGAGAAAGAATTGTAGCAGAGTGTAATTCAGTTCGACAGGCTTTACAGGACCTTCTCTCCGAGTACATGGGAAATGTAAGGATTATGTACTTTGAAAACCCATTGACACCTTACAGGAAAATAATTTCACAGACATGTCTAGGCTTATGTACAAGGAGTTGGGAAAGGTGGTTTTAGTGGTGGTGGTAGTAAATACTAGGTAAGACTCCCGAGTATACTATACTGATTATTTTACAAAACCAGAACTGTTCTCAAGGCAGTATTCTATGAACTAAGTAGAATCAACAGGCATGTAATGTTTTGGAAACCTTTCTTTATAAAATTGCTGTTTTTAAAAGCTGTTTTTTGGAACTCACTCCTACTACAAACTACCTATATGGCACTCACTACTGATCCAGGCTTTTCAAAGCCTGTTTCCTCTCAGCTCGTGCTACACTGCCTGTTGTGGGCTGTTAAATGTCACTTTTGTTTTGTTGTGTCCATCAGATTCATTGTTGAGGAATGGTATATTGCATTAAAAATAGTTGGGCATGGAATGCTACAAAATAACTTTTTCTTGGTTGTACAGTACAAGACACGGGCGATCCTGACTTATTGGGTTGTATAGCGTACCAACAGATGATTCTGACACTGGTCACAGCTTTTTAGAGTATATATAACCCCTCCCACATCATTTTTTTCCAGTGTCCTTAGGTGATGGACAGGTATTAGTTCTCTTTGACAGGAAGTGTTAGTCTTACCTTATGATGTCTTCTATCAAGTTCCTCTGACTGCACACAGCCAAGCTGGGCAAAAATGCTGTCTTCCAAATCGGTGTCCCACGGCAAGAGCTTCGGGGACAGTACCCGGACCCTGCAAGGACAACATCAAAAGATGCAGGGCCCTCCTGTAATGTTGCTTTGGCACTGGATCCTGCGTTAGGCTCCCACCTTGGTACAGTTTGTACAGCGTTGTGTTAGCTGTAGTGTGCCATACAGGTCCAGGGCTATGGTATATCTGCATTGGTGTGACCCTGTCCCTGAACACCCTTTACAGGGAATGCACTCCCAAAGTGAGTGAAGCTGAGGAACATCCCTGCTGACGGTAGAAGATGCAGGAGTAGAAAGTGTGGGGTTCCCTTCTTCCATTCTGTATCAGGACCTGTGCTGTTTCTGCGTACTGTGCGTTTCACCTCTTAATTCCTTTTTTCCTGGACTTGTGCCCTGCATCGATCTTCATGAGGGCCTCTTCACATTAAGTGAGTGACAGATATTTTTCTACATTTTTTGTGTTTTTGTGGGCGTTGGCAGTCATCTTGCCGAAGCCCTTGTTTATCAGCATAAGCGCTGCCTCAGGCACCTCGATGTCCCCAACACCATTTTGCCGGAAATGTTCTACTGCGCATGCGCGTTGGGTCCTTTGGCAGCCATCTTAGTGTAGTCCATCGGTGTGGGGGAAGTTGTGCGGAGGCGGGGCAGTGGTTGTTGGTATTTAAATTTGACATGCAGTAGACGTTGCTGCTTGCGTGGAAGGACAGAGCATTAAGAGAGTCACTGGTCACACGGCAAGAACGTAAGGGCACTGGTCATGTGTGTTGCACCAAACTGTGAGTACCTATTAAGTACATTAACACTCTCATGGCAGATACAGAGGGACTGGAAGTAGGGGAGGAAGCAGTGTTACAGCTGCTGATGGGCATAGTGGGTTTCCTGATTAATGGGTTACTCTGTGATTACCCCGGGGTCAAATCTGCCACAGACTTCTCTTCTGCTGAATTAATACGCCTTTGAGCTCGAAATATGAGAATCAACACAGACACAAAGTTGTGTGGTATCCGCACAATATGAAATGTTCGGCTCGTTAGTGATGTACATCAAGTAAACATGGTGCGGTGGTCCAGCATTAACCAATTACAAATAGGAAAAGCATAGCAACTGCTGCGTACAAAATCAAAATTTTAGCTAGATAACGATGCACATTCATTTCCTGTGAAATCATGTGTTTTCCAGTAACTCGAAACTCTCAAGGTTGTTACAGCTTAAACAAGTACAAATTGAGGAAAGAATCTAATGCTAACATAAAATTGACTTTATCCCTTTACTAATGGTTCCCCTAAAAACGCTGTTATAGGAAGTGTCTGTTAGTCCACCTTACCCTCTGCCACATCTGCTACTATTTCAGCTGGGCCTCATTTATCCCGTCCCAGCAAGAACGATTTTGCGGCATCTGTGACATAGGCCCGGCCCAGAACCGCTGTACGTCAATCCCACGTGACTATACACAGTTCTGAATCAAGCGTGGGCATCGCAAGGACGTGGCGATACCACTCTCCGCCTCTCCCTGCACAGAGATTTCCCAGCTCGCAGGACACAATCTCAGGCCAGCAGACTGAGAGCGATCGTCACCAGGGTTGGTTAACTCCGCAGTTAACCCTTTACCCACAAACGTTCGCTGCCGCCATGTGTTTTCTCTTTATGGAAACACAGACCGTGCCAAGCAAATGCTGCAACAATGTGAACCACTTAATGCTTATGATATCGCTGTCCCCTCAAACAGGAATATGACAGGATTCACTATACAGTAGCGCTTTTCACAGAAGCAAGAATACTTTAGTCCACTTCTCTAGAGTCCAGTGGCGGCGTGCTTTACACCACTGCATCCGACGCTTTGCATTGCACTTGGTGATGTAAGGCTTGGATGCAGCTGCTCGGCCATGGAAACCCATTCCATGAAGCTCTCTACGCACTGTTGATGTGCCTATCTGAAGGCCACACAAAGTTTGGAGGTCTGTAGCTATTGACTCTGCAGACAGTTGGCGACTTCTGTGTACTGTCCACTTCAGCATGCACTGACGCTGCTCTGTCATTTTTGTGGCTGAGTTGCTGCTGTTCCCAGTTGCTTCCACTTTGTTTTAATACCACTAACAGTTGACCGTGGAATATTTAGTAGCAAGGAAGTTTCACGGATGGCCTTATTGCACATGTGGCAACCTGGCAACCTATCACGGTCCACGCTTGAATTCACTGAGCTCCTGAAAGTAATCCATTGTTTCACAAATGTTTGTAGAAGCAGTCTGCATGCCTAGGTGTTTGATTGTATACACCTGTGGCCATGGAGGTGATTGGAACACCTAAATACAATGATTTGGAGGGGTGTCCCAATACTTTTGGCAATATAGTGTAGATTAGAGTTCACAGGGATTAGATCCCTTTTGAGGAACATGATTTCTTTAAAAAACAAAATCACTTTTTGTGGAAAGAAGTAGAATTCAGTAGACATCACATATCACCACTCTTTGTTGTGTTGCGCTGCGACCTGATATTTCCTGTGATATTCTGCTGAAGATAAAATAGGTTGTAAAATAATCATTATTTGTATATAGTTTCTTTACTGCTCATCCCAATCCTCGCTGCTCATCCTAATCCACATTTCTCATCCTAATCCGTACTGCTCATCCCAATCCGCGCTGCTCATCTTGAATTGAAATGAGCAGTGGAGATGGGGATTATCAATGCGGATTGGGATGAGCAGTGTGGATTGGAATGAGCAGTGTGGATTGGGATGAGCAGCGCAGGTTGGGATGAGCAGTAAAACTATATAAAAAATAATGTTTATTTTATCAGCGGAATATGACCGAAAATATCAGATCGCAGCAACACAACAATGAGAGTGGTGACGTGATGGAGAGAAGTTAGAGATTTCCTATATAGTGTGTGGAGACGTGGAAGTTGAACGATCAGAGCACACAATGTGAGAGGAGACGTTAGTCTCTGTGTCATAGAACACCGCAGCTTGGAGAGAGGGGGTGGGGCTATGTAAATACACAAGCGGCTGTAAGGAAGGTTATGGTAATAGCAGAGCGGCAGGGAGGACTAAGATTTACGGAGAACACATTTCTATACAACACCTGCAAGTGTCTGATTACGTGAGACAGAGCATAGTGAAGAGATAGGGAAAATACTGCTCCGAGAGAGGGAAAGAGAAGGGAGGCTGAGTCAGCTTGCTGCTGACAGTCTTCTCAGTTGAGACTCTGCCTCCCTCTCCCACATGTCAGCGTGCACACTCCAACCGTACACAGTGTGCATGATTAGAGAAAGCGCGGCCACGGCAGATAGTTAGAAAAAAAAAAGCTGAGGGCGGCCTGTATTCACTGTTAACGCACCCTAAGAGGAAAGGAGCTTGGAGCAGGGCTGCAAGTGGCCATTTTCTGTGACTTGTGATTAATTTATCTGCAATGTGCTGCGACTTTGGAAAAGAAGAAGAATGCTAATACAGTAAGGGCAAGAAGTACTTTTATTTGCCCTTGGCTTATAATTCTCCTTTAAAAGAACTTTAATTTCTAAAAATGAATGCAAATTACTAATGAAATTTCCTAAAGTGTTGTGTTTAAAACCCTTTTTAATGTTAACATGCTTCTCTAATCTCTTTCTAAGCTCCCTTATAGTCCCACCTACGTACTGTAATCCACATGGACACTTCAAAAGATATGTTACAAACTTGCTATGACGGGAGATAAACTTATTAATTTTATATTCTGTATTTTTTTCCCTTTTTTTTTCTTTTTTTACCCTTGAAAAAGTCATTCACGTTTTAACCAATAAGGATTGGACTTTTGCTGTGCACTGATTGTTTGGATATTAACGTTTGGTTTTATTATCTTTACACATTTCACTGGTTCACAATAATTTATGTTTTGATTTGTTTTAATAAGTGATGTTGTAGTTTTACACAATATTTTATTCACTTGTGGGAATATATATATTTAGATTTTATATTGCACATCATTGGAAGGTTTTTAGCGCGGTACAGTTTATTAAGGATTGATTGAGGCAATGGCCTTTGTGTAACAGCTTTTAACCTTTTGTTGTTTCTTGACTGACTTCCATTAGCACAAATTAATTGACTACCATAATAAGTTGGAAACAGCGAAGATTTCCGATTAAAGTATTCGTTATCAGAAATCTTCGTTGGTTCCAACTCATTGCCTGCAGTATCTAGGCTAAATGTTCGTCACCACCACTGGATTGACCAGTTCGATCCCTTCGAACTCCAGTGCAGAGATTATGGTCCAATTTGCACCCCAATGTCCGCTTCTGAATGAGAATCTTAAGGTTGATCGCTTCCACTTCCAAAGCAGTCCTGTTCGCCCTGGCTCACATAAGGCCCTTGCAGCTAAGCATCCTGGAATCTTGGAACAGACATCCTCTGTCTCATCCTATGTGTCTTTCCCCGAAAGTAAGAATTTCTCTGAGTTGGTGGCTGACAAGTACGACTTGGCGGTTAGGAAAATAATTTCTTCCAGTACAGTGGACAATCATAACGACAAACACAAGCCTTCTGGGCTATCGGTCAGTTCAGGGGACTTGGAGTCGGCTAGAATCAGCACTTCCATTTAACATTCTAGAGCTGAGAGCGATTGATCTGGCCCTTTGTGACTGCACTCCCCTTCTCCAAGGGAAGCCAACGAAAGTTAATTCGGACAATGCTACAACAGTGGCCTATGTGAATCATTGGGAGGGTACAAGAAGTTGTATTGCCCAAAGGGAAGCAGAAAGGATTTTCAATTGGCCAGAAGCTCATGTTCTGTGTAGTCTCTGTGGTATCTTTCTCAGGGTCCGGTCTTCCACCCTGCTTCTCAGTCACTGGATTTAACAGTGTTGCTGAAACCCAAGTCCTAGGGCTTATCAGATGAGGTCATTGCTACCTTACTACAGTCAAGATAGCCGTCATCTCGTACGTTGTATTACCGAGCATTTAGGGTTTACTTTGCTTGGTGAGAAGGGTGGATCCGAGATGTTTTTCAATAAATCGGGTTTTGAATTTTCTTCACTTTGGTTTAGAACAGTTTATTGCTGAGCACATTGAAGGATCAAATTTCGGCGCTATCAATTTTCTTTCAAGAGACTATTGGCTCTCGTATTGTTGGTATTTTGTATTTAAAAAAAATAATTTATATATGCATATGTCACATCAAATTGAAGCCAATTTTGTCTTTTAAAAAACATTATATAATATGTGTAGGTGCAATTAATGAGGAAGATGGACATTATGGTTAAACAAACACATAGCAAAAATGGCAAAATTGCTGCGGTCCCCAGGAACAATATACATTTCTTAAGTTGTGTCACTAAGGGGCTAAACTTGCAATTTTCCCTAATTATTGAATATGTCGTTTTTTGTATAATTAATACAATTTTTGAAGGAACTTCTTTGAATACAATTTCCTAAATTTCTGTATCAAATAGAATGCTGCTTAGTATTAGGTACCTACTACTAATGTAATGGAAAGTAGGTTGCATCATTGTTGGACTACAGCAAAGCTAATAATAACTATAATTTCAGACTGGACGAAAAGAAAGAAGCGATGCACTTAATTCTGCAATTGACAGAATGACCCGAAAAACGAGAGACCTCCGCAGACAGGTAACGGATATTGCCTCTATTGTGTTTCTGATTGTCTAATCAGTGTGCTTTTCTGACTCTCAAGGCATATGTATTTACATGTATATATTCAGCTATTATATTGGATTCCAGATTTTGGTAATCTGCTTCTTGCCACTGTGCTCCAGTACTGGGTTAGACCGGTAATACAGAACAGCAGAAATCAAGCATTGGGCAATTATCATCCTCCATTGTTGTGGTTTTTTTGTACGTCCCGCCACAAAAGGACCAAATGACTTGTCACGTACACTGTACGTGACAAGTTATTCGCTGCACTAGAAGGCTGGTAACCGCTGAGAATCAGCGGTTACCATTCATTAATGTATCCCTTAGTTTAGAGGCATCCATTAATGAAAGGGTTAACCTTTTTCAGACACCCGATACCTTAATATCAGGTGTCTCAGAGCCAAAGCAGAGCGGGCACACATGCCGGCTTTTGCCAGCATTCTGACAGCTCGTATAGATCGAGAGATATCTCGCTCAAGCTATACTGGCTTTTTTTTTCTTTCACTTTCAGGAATAGATACATAATGTATCTATTCCTGAAAGAAGAATGTTTCAGTCTGCTGATCGTTGTTGTAACAATCAGGACACTAGTGACAGGAAAAGTCATGATTAGCATTCCGCTTCAATTGTTTAGGTGTCTCACAATGCAATTTTTCCCATATATTTATTTTAAATTTCCAGCTTTGTGACCCCATTATTCTCTCAGGCTAAAAGTAATCGTTCTGGGCTGTTTAAAATAGATGACGTGCATTTCTTCTGAACACACCTCACCTACTTCTTGTTCTGTCCAATAGCTCCGCAAAGCTGTCATGGATCATGTCTCTGATTCCTTCCTGGAGACCAATGTTCCACTTCTTGTTCTGATTGAAGCAGCAAAGAATGGAAATGAGAAAGAAGTTAAAGAGTATGCCCAGGTGTTCCGGGAACATGCAAACAAGCTTATTGAGGTAAGTAAATTTACATCAAATGCACACAACGCACTACCTAAATATACCTCCGACATACATGACATAACCTACTACCTTGCTTTGTGGCGCGATGCATTGGGAAATATTGTGCGGGTGTATCTTATGTTCCTTTGTGGTGTGTTGGCTGGCCACTCAAATGAACAAGAAGCCTTAATGCAGTGCATGTTAATAACCATAATAACATGCTTTAATGCATCAGACCACACAGATGTGAATGGGGCTTAGAGTAACCTAGCTCATAGGGAATCCTCATTTTTAAGATTTATCTTTGTGTAGGAAATATTACTTGAACCCAAAGAAGGTATTGTGCAGGAGGCTATAATAGGTGTATATTTTCATGTGTAATTTTTCATCTGCAGTGAGTAGGCCTTTGCCTTTTTGTGTTCGGGAGCCTGTGTGGTGCTTACTTTGTATAGCTAATGACGGGAAGGAGAGTGGCAAATTTGGTAGTTGTCTCAGAATGCAGGGGCTGCAAGTCCGCTTCCTCTCCCCCAAAAGTCTGTCTCTGTGCAAAAGAAAATGCAGCTTCCTTGAATCCAGTCACAAAAAAACAAAACCAAGCGCTCAGCTGCCAAATATTCTGACCACTCCATCAAACTAGGTGTCTCTCGGTCAAACAAACTAACATATAATATCATATGCTAAACAGGATACAAAGTATCTGAAAGGTAGCCCAGGAAGTCTATATAAAAAATAAAAAAAATATGTAGAAAACTAGGTAGCAAGAAAGTCCAATGCTGCTAGAGTGGGGAGCTCCAGTGAAGGAAACTAGAAAAAAAGGGGACACAACACAAAAAGACTAATGGTGTAGTCGGTTCAAATCCAATAATTTATTGAAAAAAAAGCAGTAAGCATTACATTCATTAGTGATGGTGAGAGAGAGGTAGCAGAATCAACCACATCTATGCACAGGGAAATATCGAAGCTGGTGGCGTCCTGCCCTGGCCATAGGCTGACTCTCCATGGTAGATGGATAAATAGAAGCAACTCGCCGTGTGTTGTCAAAGGAGGAAGGAATTGACTCCCGTTGTGGTAACACCACCCACTCTCAACGTCACCTCTTATCCAGAACACGTCTCGGGGAGTTCCTCCCCTTCATCAGCCTTACTCCTGGGCTACCTCTACACATAATAAAGGGTTAATCAGAAGCATTGTAATAAACAAGTAGATGTCTCTCAGAAAGAACAGGTATTAAACCTGTAAATGTTAATTATGGAATAAATCGACAATTACATGGCACACATACTGCAAACCATCATAGTTAAATTAAGTGGTATTGCTCTAAGAATAATCACTATAAAATTGACATATATGACAAAGGATTATGCAAAATAATGTGGGCTATGTAAATAGCAGCTTGAAAACGGACACAAAAAAAATGGAAAAAGTGTGTTTTTTATAATGTGCATCCCAATGTGTGTTTTGAAGAAAAAAAAAATTAAACATAATCCCCTAAGCAAAATGGACAATTAAATATTCAAATGCACATCCAGGTCTTCATTTGGTCCCCCTTCGACAACTGAGTTCAAATGACTTGGATGGTAATAAGGGAAGGTTTGCTGGGGTCCTCGTTATGATGGGAATAAACATTTTAGGAGAACGTGGGCGGAATTTATCGAAACTGGAGCAGACAAAAACCTGGAGCAGTTGCCCAGGGCATCCAATCGGCTTCTCTCGTCAGTTCGGTTAAGATTTGAAAATGAAAGATAAAGTGATTGGTGTGCGCAACTGTTCCAGAGTTTGTCTGCTCCAGTTTTGATAAATTCCCCCCACTGTATTTAGAGTCAATCTCTTTTTATTTATTTAGGCATAAACAACATGCAAAACTAGACAAGACCGTAAAACAGGACATCGTCATGTCTATCAAGTACAAGCCAAGTATGCACAGACAATAATTTGGAAATACAGTTACTATTCCATAGTGTGCAGATAACGCCCGTCAGGTCCCTGAGGGGCGGTCTTCAGAAGGCTGAATAGCCAATCTGCTATAACACAAAGAAAGATCCGGCACATGGGTAATATATATATATGTATTGTAGTTGAAAGAGAACTATAGAACGAGAGGGGGAAAGAGGGGACAGCCAGAGAGGATGGGAAAAAGGAGGAGAGAGAGGACAGGCTCAAGGAGGAGAGAGCGGACAGGCTCGCAATGGTCCTCAACACCAGACAGAACATCTCCTAAAACTGTCTAAATAAAGACATATAATACATATTAACTTCCAAATATAGCTAGGCCACAAGGTGACCAACTAATCACTCAGGAACTCAGCATTTGTTTAAATTCTATAGAGTCCAGGCAGACCATATCTCTAGAACCTTGTTAGACCTGTTGTGGTCAAACACCACCAGATCCTCCATAGTGTAAATTTAATTCATTATCGGGGCACAAGTCGTGAGCCTTGGGGGATGGTTGGACTTTGTGAGCGACTCTGGCTGCCAACAAACAATGGTGAAGTATTCCCTTCTTAAGAGAGGAGAGGGAATTAGGCATCATTGAGAGGACGGCCACCATGCAAGAGACTGGAGTGTATCAGAAATGCTCTTCCTGTGATAGCAGACAAAGACCGAGGTCCAAAACCCTGTGATAACAGGACAGCTCCACCACAAGTGAAGAAAAGATCTCCCTTCCCCAGAGCACCTCCAGCAGGGGTAAGGGGGCCCAAGCGAGATGCGAGTTACTTAGTCAGGACGAAATTGCCCCATACCGAATGCAAGGGCAGCAACAGAAAAGGCAAGGAGGGACATTGCCCCGGTGGGATTCATGGGAGTGCCTGTAATTCATGGGTGCTAAGATTGAATTCCAGTTGTGTCACCAGCTTATTAGAAAGACGATGAAACCAATCTGACAACCGGGTAAGCAAAGAAGCCTTGTGATGTAATTAGAAATCTGGAAGGCCCATCCCGCCTTCCAATTTGGCTTCAGAAAGGACTGAAAAGCAAACACGCGGCTTCCTAGAGCTCCAAACATAACGCAATCAAAGTGATTTTAGTTTGAGGAAGAAAGATTTAGGGGACAGATAGGAATTGCTTAAAAAAATTTATAAGAGACAAGGTAAGACGTCCAATTAAGACGTCCATCTTAAGAGTATTTAATACATCCAAACCACGAGAGACCTCTGTCCCAACTAGAAAGATCTGTCGTTATAGTCCCTAAAAGCTTAGTGTAGTTGAGAGAATATAGTGTGAATCGGTCAGCCGGGATGCACGTACCGAAGTATTTGATGTGACCCGAAGAGCATTTAAATGCAAAATTATAAAGCAAGTGGGAATGAACCTGTTGGGAGGATGACATCCAGTATTTTAGATTTTGATAAATTCACCTTGAAATTACAGAAAGGAGAACTATGAGGTGAGTGATTTACACTCATCCTCATAGTTAGTCAGCCTGTGACAAAGAAGCTGTCACAGGTCGGCTCTATAGATCGAGAAGTGAGAAGAAACATGCACCGATCCGCTCACTTCCCGACAGTCTCCCTGAATTGAGCGTTGATCATCAGTCATCGCTCCCCGCAGGGATTCCCCCCTCCCCTCTCCGATCCTCCAGCGCTGACTGGAGGGACGGACGGACGGGAGGGGCTGGGCACAGCTGGCTCTGCCTCTAGATAGGCAAGATCCCACTGTCACTCACGCAGCTGGGTGGATCTAGACAGTTTTGTCTGGCTCTGTCCCGGCTGCGGTGCTCTAAGTATATTGTGGCAATGGCCAGCGATATACTGAGCTTTGGGTCATGGGAGGAGGTTAGTATATGTCCTCCCATGACCCTAAAGAGAACTATGGGGAAAAACACTTATTCCATAGTTCTCTTTTAAGGAGCCGAATATGTAAAGTTCTTGTAGGATATTAGGCAGGCTAATCAAAGGTCGGGAGACAAACATTAACAGGTCATCAGCGAACAGGGCAAGTTTATGTTAGGTTGAACCTATGGAGATACCGTGAATAGTCATTTATACCAAGTGTCACTGCCCTACACAGTGCCACTGCCAAACGTTCCATGACAAGGGCATAAAGTAAGGGCAACCCTGTCGCATACCATTATGAATCCTGAAAGGACCTGACAATGAACCATTGACGTGAAGTCTGGATACTGGATTATTATAGAGGGCCATAACCCTATGTAAAAGAACTCCCCCAGACCCACCTGTTGCAGCTTGGCTACCAGAAAGGGCCAGCTGACCCTATTAAAAGCCTTTTCGGCATCCACAGAGAGCAGGCACGAGAGGGGGTAGCAGTTCTACAAGCATAGGCAATTAGATTAATGACCCTAGAGGTATTGTTGTGTGCTTTGCACGGAGGAATGAAACCCACCTGGTCTCCATGAATAAGATGAGGTAAGTACGGTTGTTGTCGGAGAGCCAACAGTTTAGCAAAACGTTTAGCATCAGGATTGAGGAGAGAAATGTTTACCACAATTTATAGTATCCTTGCCAGATTTGGGTATATGTGATATGGGCCTAAAGGGTTTGCGAAGGAAAGCGGCAGTCCGGAGAAACGCATTGTAAGTGTTGAGAAGTATGGGTGACAGAGAATCAAGAAAGGTTTTATAAAATGATGCAGTCAAGCTATCAGGTCCAGGACATTTACCAGTGGAAAGGTTTTTAATAGCGGCACAAAATTCAGCAGGGGTGAAAGGAGAGTCTAGACTAGCCCGAACATCATAAGGACGGCAGGTAGGGCAGTGCGTTGCACATAGTTTTCTATTTTTCGATAGAGAGTTTCAGGCGGTAAGTCGGCATACAGTGTTTCAATACTTTAAAGAGTAGAGTAGAAGTGTTGGAAGTGATCACAAATTTGCTTGGGACTGAACTAAAACCCCGTTACGAGGAACTATAGAAAAATTAGTACTAGAAGGGTTTTGCGGATGAAGTCGACGAGCAAGTAGGCAATCGTACATTTCCCCAAATTCGTACCATTGGCTGTGCTGTCTATCTCTAGCAGCGAGAAATATACGGCCAATGAGTTGCCCAAGAAATGGTGCGGAA